TCCCCCCAGGTGATGCTGTGATGAGCACTGGGTGGCACACGGGTACAGGCACTTGGACTTGCTTAGGTGCTGCGTCGATGCACTCTTGAGCTTGGCTCCCTTCTGCGGCAGCGAGTATTTTACTGTGCGTTGCTCCAAGGAGCACTCCTTGACTCCCTGCCCAGGGGGGCACTTGGGCACCCGTGGCTGCGGCGGGCACTTGGTTTCGCACTGCCGTGAGGAGGTGATACACTCCTGCGAGGAGGTGATGTACTCCTGCGAGGAGGTGACGTACTCCTGCGTTGGGTAGCCCTTCATGCACCTCTGATGGGGGAACGTCCCCACGTATTCTTGCAGGAAAGACTGTGTTACACACTGCTGGGGGGGACACTCGGTGACACCCTGCAGTGGGGCAGAGTATCTGCCATTCATCCCCTGCGAGGACCGCAGCTCCGCGCCGCACCGCTGCGATGAGCACTTGGCGATCCTGTGTGACCTGCATTCATCCTTGCACGAGGACGAGTACTTGATCCCACATGGTGGGAACCTGAGTTTGCCCGGCTCCGGGCACCTGGGCGCGCACGGTGGGAGGCTCTTGGCCACGCGTTTCTTCTCGAGGCGGCTGGGCTGGCAGGGCTGGAAATCCTGCATAGGGCTCAGCTTCAGGCTGGGCTTCCTGCAGGGCAGAAGGCAAGCGGTCTCACAGGACTCGGGGTACAGCAGGACACGCTGCTGCACATAGGGCTGACACGCCAGCAGCGGCGCCTGGGTCACACTCGGCTGTGGGCACACGTAAGTGAAAGGTTGCATGTAGTTTTGCCACGTTGGCATTGGGCTCTTGATGATGCTGACCGGGTGGCACGTGGTGCTGCACCCATCGGGCTGGGGCACGCACTGCTGGAGGCTTTCGGTGCTGTAGCCTGATCCCGGCAGGTACAGCTGTTTGTACCGCTCTCCATAATAGTGCATGGTCACCCGAGGTGGTTATGCCTGAAAGAAGCAGGAGAGAGACAGAAAACTCACATAGACATCAGCCGTTTCTTTGTGACGCAGGATTTGGAGTTTCCCACAGGGATCTCTACACGGGGAACCCACACCAAAGCTCTCCTGAAGGTCTGAGGCTCTCAGTGACTCAAGACTAGCCTGTGATTACCCAGGTGATGGTTCATGCCCTCCCACGCTTCCCCTAGAGCTCAGAAACAACCAGGGACTGGGGACTGTCAAACTGGGGAGTTTTCATGCTGTCCTTCGAAGCTCAGCTAAGTCTGTCAAAACGTTTCACCAAGAATTCCCATTACAACCCTGTTTTACTTCCTGGAAACCTCATGCGTCCCCACTGGGATGGCCTTTCAAGTCTACGTCCTGCAATTCCCAAGCACCAGAGATGAAAGGCAAGCCAAAATTACAGGTGTCTCCATGCTGCAACACTCAGGTGTGGCGCAGTTCACGCGGGCAAACCCAAGCGGAGGTTAAATGAGCTGGCTGAGGGTAAGGACGGCTTTGTAGCAGCACGTACAACCTGTCTGCCTGCCTGCCTGCCTCCGAATTCACAGGCCCACAGGGGTCTGCAGGGCTCTGAGTGTGCCATTACAGGACTCTGAGTTTGCTACCATAGTATCAGCAGTCCCCAAGCCTCAAGAAAGAGGAAATTCAACAGGACTGTTTCTAAATATTTGGTGAAACCATAGCAGGCAAGGAGAAGCCATCAAGGCAAAATCTCAGCAGGTGTTAAGTGGTCAAGTTTCACTGAGTTGGGAGAATTAAACTCATTTAATTCAACTGCCAGTTCTGCGCTATGGTCACACCAAGCTGTGGAGTCCCAGTTCTGCTATGGTAACCCAAAAACCCACAGCCAAACTGTGTGGCATAGCTCTGATGGTGAAACCTCATCCTGGCAGCATGAAGGGGATCAAGCCGAGACCGCATCCCTGCGGACAGGACAGGGTGGCACCATCTGGAGATCCACAACTGCTGCGAGTTGTCTCACTTTGTCTTGGCCCTAGAAGTCATAGGAGAAACCAGTCCTCTCTGGAAAACACCAGTTTCAGGAAGTTTTCTAAGTCTTTAACAGGATTAATTTAAGCGAAACGGGTACTGGAACCAGTGACGTGAAAGATAATCCCATTGAATTATTTTTCTTCCTTTTGACATTGTTTGGCGATTAAGGCATATAATTAAGTGGCTGTAAAGAAACTGCATTTTCTGAACACCCCTAGCTCTGTCTATAATTGCAGTAAGGCATTTTATCTTCCAAAGGCCTAGCGCCGGGTGACTATTAACTGTAACAATGCTGTGTGTTGCTATCATTAGTAAAACTTATTATCACTACAATTATAATAATCATCAACTAATAAAAACAACCTGTTGGAAAACAATGATAGCAATTGCTACTCCTACATGTACAATGTTAAAGTACCTGGTGATGCTCATCAAGATGAAAAGCGTCTAAACTAGGGGGGGTTATCTGCTTCCAAGGTGTTGTTTGCATCTCAGACTTATTTTTATCACTAAAATAGATAGAAAACTTTAACGTGTTCAGACTTAGAGAGTCTCTCTGCTGACTTCTGCACTGAAGATGGCCAGCTTCTTCCTATTATCAAAGTTGCTTTGTTTAAATCCCATTAAACAGCAGCAAATTTCTCCAAGCCACTTCCTTCCCAGCAGTCGCCTTTTCATGTGCAAGCTCGTATCTGCCTCCTGCCAGCATCAAGCCCTTTATGTAGCCAACAGCTTCCTTGGGCCTAGATCTAACAGAAAGCATAGGAAAACCCCCAAATCCCACTCCTGACTCCACAGTCCATCTGGCAGCGCTTTCCTGATACTCCTCAGTTTAGCACAAAGAAGGTGCTCCAGCCGTTAGAGCCACACACGCCGGTGCTGAAGGCAGCGTCCCTCAGAGGATGCTTCTCCACAAGGACCCTCTGCCTGCTCCGGCCACCCAGGAATAAACCAGCATTTCAGGAGCTCCATTAAAAGCCAGACTTACCCACTTCATCAGTGAGAGCAACCGGGAGAGAAGTGCCTAGGAGAGCCCCGCGATGGCAGAGCTTTTATACAGTGAAGAAGTGCCCTAGGGGAGTGAGGTGGTTTGGCCGGGCCGTGCTTTAATTGCCTGCCAGGCCCATCTGAGCCACGTGCAGCTTCCCGCC